CCAAACATACAAGTACCTGAAACTGAAGAAATACACTTCACCTTCCCGACATTGAAGATTCACATAAATCCAAACATACAAGTACCTGAAACTGAAGAAATACACTTCACCCATCCCGGACATTTGTATTCTCTTTTGTAAGAATACAACTAAAATTTAAATTTTAGGTTGGCCATTAATAACGTACATAACCAGCTGTTTCGCTCTCTTTTTTTTGAGTATTTTTTATCTAGAGGTAATTTGTTTACATATTTGTCATAGTTAATTACAGGTCGTCCACCGAGTATTTCGTGATGGACTAGAATGTTCTAATATTTCTTCTTATGCAGCAGACCAAAATATTTAGTGCGAGTTTTAAGATGATTTCGGTTGCAGAGTGAGGGTTGGAAAGGTTTCACTCTCAGAAGAGTAATTATTTATACGCTGTATCTTCTTATCGCATAAAGTTGCTTGACTTCGGTCGGTTCAGAATTTGGTTCGGCTGACATTTTAGTGTGGTGTAGTCACTTCGTATTTCTGTTTGCTCCTGCTAGTATTCGAGATACCGTTTGCCCATTCGTAGTAAATATAGAGTTTCACACCTCCTCAATTCTCCTATTTATAACTCAACCCAAAGTGAATTGCTTTGCCCAATCACTCAAGAAGTCGAATGTGTGTATTTTCAGCTTAGTTTGTGAGACCTCTGGGGTTTTACCGAAATCCAAAACTGAATAATAGTTCCCTTGTAGCCTTGAAGTATCGACCAATATTTCCAAGTATACATCGCAAACTGTGAGACTCATATCAAGGGGTTTAAGTCCAGCTGTTTGGAACCTCTCGGGTTTTACTGAAATCTAACACTGAATAATAGTTCCCTTGTAGCTATATTCCGTGAAGTATCGATCAGAAGCATACATCGCAAGCTGTGAGACTCATATTCCTCCCCATCACTATTTCGTACACACTCAAAACAAATTCAGCAAATAAAGAATGTGGATTCAGCAAGTAAATGATTTGGCTTCTGTAAATAAAGATGTTGACTTCAGCAAGTAAATAATGTGGCTTCTGTAAATAAAGGTGGTGACTTCAGCAAGTAAATAATGTAGCTTCTGTAAATAAAGATAGTGACTTCAGCAAGTAAAT